AAGACTTCGTCGAATTTTATTTTTTATGAGGTCAGAATGGGGGGGGGGGGGGTCTTCATTTGTATATTACTTCTTCTATGCTTTTGTTCTCTATACGTGTTCTTATTTGGAGTAGTGATAGTTTCTTTTGTAAATGAAATGAATTGTTGGGAAATCATAGACGACTGTTGACAATTGTAGGAATAAAAGAAAATTCATTGGAAATCACTTGCGCATTCTTTTTCAAACATAGACATATTGAACAGGACAAACGTATATACAATTTTCCCTGTATTTTTATCAGTAAATATACATTTGCATTAAATAAAACCTCTTTGCACGATCTATAGTTTTGAGGTGTCCAAATGATTTGACAATGATATACCAAAGATAGTGGAATGGCGATTGAACGTATTTGATTGCATTCTGCGCAATAATCACTTGTAATAGGATACTAATGCTATATTTTTTTATATCAGTGCGACGTTTTTCTAATAGAATATTAGATTTATTAAACAATCTAGGTTTGGATCAGTTAGTAAATTTGCCTACCAGGAAAGATAATATTTTAGACATCTTTTGTACCAACCAACCAAATCTTATAACCAAAATTAAATCAATACCCGGTATATCGGATCACAACATAGTTTTGGTTGATGCCATTTGTAAGCCTAAAAGAGCTACGCAATACCCCCATAAAATTTTCTTATGGAAGAAGGTAGATTTAGAAAAAATTAAAAAATATAACCAAATCATTTATATATGATCTGCTAAGCCAGACCACATTAGAACTTATTATAGATCAGTGGTGGATTAAGTTTAGAGATGGAATAATAAAAATCATCAATGATAATATACCAAGTAAAATGACAAAATCTAAATATACAAATCCCTGGGCAAATAAAGAAATTGATAGTTTATGTAAAAAACAAAGACGAGCATTTAATAAAGCTAAAAAAACTGGGAAATAAATCCACAAAGATAAATACAAAACGCTTAAAGCAACAGCTCAAAGAGAAATTAGGAAAGCCCAAAGTAAATATATGGAAGAAATCATAAGTCCACAACTGGAGGAAAAACCAAAATCATTTTGGCAATACATAAAAGGGAAAAAGACTGAAACATTAGGAGTCTCACCTTTGAGAGGTAAAGATGGATTACTTTATAGTGATCCACAAACACAATCAAATATTTTAAATGAGCAATTTAAAAGTGCATTTACTAAAGAAGACAAAACTTCAATGCCAATTAAAGCTAAAAGTTCCTACCCCACCATGCCAGATATAACCATTAATATCAAAGGCATAATTAAACTCCTTAAAAATATAAACCCCCATAAAGCTAGTGGGCCTGATAATATTCCTGCTATTTTCCTTAATAAACTCTCAGAAGAGATATCCCCCTTCCTTTTATTCTTTTTTCAAAAATCCATAAATGATGGAAAAACCCAGAAGAGTGGAAACAGGCAAATGTTGTGCCAATTTTTAAAAAGGGAGATAAGCATAATGCAATTAACTATAGACCGGTTTCTTTAACGGCTATATGTTGTAAGGTTTTAGAACACGTCTTAACAAGTAACATTAGAAAACATTTAGATTTAAATAATGTTTTAAATGATTGCCAACATGGCTTTAGGAGTAAACGTTCCTGTGAAGCACAACTTGTTATCAGCATCCAGGACATAGCCAAATACTTGGCAGAAGGTAATCAAGTTGATGCAATACTTTTAGATTTTTCTAAAGCTTTTGATAAGGTCCCCCATGAAAGGTTAATAACAAAGCTTAATTATTATGGTATACGTGAAAATAACTTACTTTGGATAAAAGATTTTTTGTCAAACAGGCAACAGCAAGTCCTGCTTAACGGTGTTCAATCTTCCAAATTAGCTGTTGACTCTGGTGTTCCTCAGGGCACAGTATTAGGCCCAACTTTATTTTTGTTATTCATAAACGACCTACCTGAGCATGTCTCCTGTAAGGTTCGTCTTTTTGCTGACGACTGTTTACTTTATGAAACATCAAATAATATAAATGAGTCTCAAGCACTCCAAAAAAATCTATTAAGCCTTGAAAATTGGGAATCTGAATGGCAAATGAAATTTAATCCTGAAAAATGCTATGTCATAAACATTTCTAAAAAGTCGAAAACTAATTTATTTCAATATAAATTACATAACCATGTACTTGAATCTGTCAAAGACAGCAAGTATCTAGGAGTTACAATAAGCAATGATCTTGATTGGGGGCCCCATATCAATAATATAACTTCAAAGGCAAATAAAACACTAGGATTTTTACGTAGAAACATGAAAAATTGTACACGTAAGGTTAAAAACCTTACGTACACATCACTTGTGCGTCCGACCGTCGAGTACTCCTCACCAGTTTGGGATCCGTACAAACAAAGCCAAATAAACCAAATTGAGCAGATACAGCGTAAGGCAGAAAGATATGTTTTTAATGACTATAACGATAGATCACCAGGTGCTGTCACTGGTATGTTAAACAAACTAAAATGGGAAAACTTGCAATCCCGTAGAACAAAAGCTAAGCTGGTCTTGATTTATAAGATTAATGGGGGGTTGGTCGAAGTCACTAATGACGTCCTGACACAATCTGACAGGCGAACTAGAGGCCTACATAAATTTCGACATATATATATACAAATAAAGACTTTTTTAAATCATCTTTTTTCCCAAGTACTATTGCTGTCTGGAACGATCTCCCAGAAACAATTTGCATGTCACCCTCCCTAGAATCCTTCAAAGGTGGTATCTCCACCTTAACATTTGGAGGTTCTAGTCTGGCTAATTAATTAGTGTAATTAAGCCACTGTACATAATGTGAATATGTTTAACATTAAGCTACAACTAATGTTATTTTAAATTGTATTTGAACTGTGGCAAATATTTTTATCTTATAACAAAATTTTCGACATCCATTTGCATGTACATAGCGCCACAGTTACGGGATATTCCACACTCCGGCACCGGAGTCTTTCTCGTACCAGGAAGAAGATTATGCTTTTAATATGAAAAACTGTTCCAATGCGATATTTTTCAAATAGAAATGCGATACTTTTTTCGTATGAAAAAAATACGATAATATGCCACAATGACAACTAACATGTCGTTTATTTTAAATTACACAGTGACGTTTGTCGTTGTGCTTTTGTCTGATATTTGAATATTTCTGTTGTCAATATTAATTATAAAGGAATATCATACAAAAGCCTGTATAGATGAACCATTACTTTAGAACTGAATGCTGTTTTTTTTTTGAATTTATACTAAATGAATGCAATTGACGATCACATTAAGTATGATGCGCCTCCGCATATCTTGAAAATAAAAATAAAACATATGTAAGTAAGATTTGAATCTTAAAGTAAAACTGATCACAAAACGTTTGAAATAACCGTTGTCTAGTGAGATGAAATCCATAGCAATTCACTTGTAATCAATTATACGTCATGCAGCTGAAATTTTATGGTGAGGATGTCAATGTCAATCTAGATATAATAGCTCGTTTATATTTATCCTTGATTAATATATCGTCGGAGGATAATTCATTGTTACATATTTCTGTCAACTATTCATTCTATTTGTAAAATTTAGAATGGAAACGGGGAATGTGTCAAAGAGACCACAACCCGACCAATGAGCAGAAAACAGCTTAAGGCCACCAATGGGTCTTCAAACTACTCTTTCATTTGCGATTTATTTTACATGAACACGAACAATGTAAGAAAATGATGTTGATTTTTTATATGAATGAGTATAAATATTTTATAATCCAGGGTGCATTCATACCAATTGAATGCAAGTGACGTTATCAAATGATTTGTTTTCAACCCAAAACAGATAAAGTTCTGTATGAATTAAACACATACTGTGCTACTTTATTTTATTATAGAAAATTAATTGAATTTTTTTTTTCAGAGAATAACCAGGGTTAAAGGTCATAACTTCGAATCAGTGGTACGTTTGTATAAGCGATTTTCATTAATAAATATCATGCTTCTAAGTGACACAGATGCAGATAGCTTTGTTTCACGTTAACACTCAATAAGCATTGCTAAATCTGAGCATTACAAACGTTTTATTGATTCAAAGAATTCACCTCCTTAACATCACATGAAAAAAATATGTGCTTAAGCTACAAACTTGATTTCTGATCCTAATTAATATGTTTATAAGAATGTAACAACTGATATCAGCCCGGTTTTTGGTGGGATTCGTGTTGCTCAGTCTTTAGTTTTCTATGTTGTGTTTTGTATACTGTTGTTTGTATTTTCGTCTTTTTCTTCTTTTTTTTGCCATGGTGTTGTCAGTTTATTTTCGACTTATGAGTTTGAATTTCACTTTGGTACATTCCGCCTCTCTTTTAAATTGTTAACACTATCAATATTTTTTTAACATTATGATAAATTTTATCACATTGATTCCATGCAGAAATCTTTAATATAAAAATAAGGAGACGTGGTATGATTGCAATGAGACAACTATCCACCACAGACCAAATGCCGTATTTTGTAACCAACTATACGTCACCGAAATGCTTGGAAAAAAACCCAAGTAAAGCAGTATGGTTATCTATAATAGACACCGACAGGACATAATATTAACACAATTAAACGAGATCCAACAGCCTAGTTTTAGATCAACGGCAATTTCTTTAATTATTGATAAAAGACTATAGACAAAAAATCGTCAGAGTTCGTATCATAATAAGAAAATAAGGTTATACAAAAGCATTTTTCAAATATTAACTTAGAATTTCGAAAAATTATTTTTAAAGATTTATAAAACTCAAACGAAATTTCACGGAACAATTCCCTTAATGTCGTTTAAAAACCAAAACCTTAAAAAGTGCAGTTGCCAAAATCGTTAACAAATTTAGAATTTAATTGTATAAACAAGCTAACAAGTTTAAAATATAGGTAAATAAGGATGTCGGATCTTACATATAAGTATCTGACTTAATTACATCACAAGAGAGTACCGATTTATTATTGTTTTAAACAGTCACTAGTGCACCACTTTTCATGTTGTTTACGTTAAATAACAGGCGACTTTTTCGCCTACATGTATAAATGTTATATATGAAATCAGTTGAAATGGACAACGATATTCTTTTCAACAGCTCTAATGGTGCGTCAGTCCAGAGACAAAGAATATATCAATTTTTGGGACGAATTAGCTGGAGATCTTGTGTGTCTGGTATAATTTTTGGCAGCTCGTTATCTATACTGCTAACTTTATCTTTATTTTTGATAATTGCACCATACTTGTATGACAAACCAGAAGCGGACAGTCTATTCGGTAAGTGATTCGTGTCTTTGATAAACCATTAATTGCATATTTGGCAATTTTACACTATTTTTTAATGATAGAAAAATATGTTTTTGTAAATGGTGTACATTTCATTTACCTTATTTACAATACACATGCATATAAACATAATTAGTTAAGATATACACTTTACCATTATGATAAAACTGCACTTCAAACTTGAATGTAATAATTAATCTCGTATGGTTTTTTGAGGGTCTTCATTGGGTTTATGGAATAGAGTATACTGGGCAAGAAGTGCAGAATAAAGAACAAAAAATATAAAGAATAAAAAAATAGGCCCAAAAAATAAAGAAAAGAGAGTACTGCGGAACTATGATATAAAGAATAGAAAATAAGAGAAAAAATAAATATAGAATAGAGAAACATGCCATAAACAAATAAAGGATACAGTAATGGAGAACCATCCATTCGGACCCTCTTTTATATGACAGGTGTCAGGAAATTAAACGAAAATAAAGTTTTTTAAATTTTTCGTGGCATGGTCAGAGATGAAACTAAACTTAGTATAAACAAGAAGATATGGTATGAGTGCCAATGCAGCACATGTATATCAAAAGAAGTAACTTTCACCATAATTTAGTTGTTTAAATATATGTGACCATCTACCTTGTCACTGTTAACACAACGTTTTAAAGGTATTTAGTTGACATAGGTTTGTTGTAATAATGAGTCCTTTCTTTGAGCATCCCTAAACAGACATTTATCGTCGTAATGCGCATATGGTGCATTTAAATTGTTATCGTTGATATTATCTAATCGGAAATTTGCTAAATAATACTACGATAGTTACCGTCAACCGGCTGTTGGTTCACAATTGCCAATCCAAATGCCTACTAAACAACATTAAAATTGGTATATAGATAGGGTCAATTTCGTTTAAATTACTTTCTTACTAGTGCCATGTTCAAGAAGTCTTTCAATCTTTGTTTTTACAGTAAAATTAGCAGTTAGGCAGATTCATATTTGCACATTGATGTTATAGCAACATCATTGAGTATTTTTTGAAACATGTAAGCAAATATTTAAAAGAAAAAATGCATAGGAAGTGTCAGAGTTGTAATTTTGTAGATTTTACGAATTTTGTAATAAATATCGCTAAAAAGAAAGTGAATACGGACATTCTTAACCAAAACCAATATTATATTTTGTTTCTCAGATAAACTCAATTAATGTTGGTTAAGGACGTCTTTCCACTATTTTGTTGAAATTAAAAACGTTTTTAAAATTACGATGTAGTATCAGAATTATGTTCAACAATATACCATGAATAATATAATGAGTTTTAAAACATTTTGATATTATGAATAATGTGTGTAAATTATATTAAATATTTAATGTGAAGTATTTCGACTCTTCCGTTTTCACATTATCGGAGTTTGACCTTGCGAGTGAAAGAAATTCAATTTAAGGAAAAATAACTAAACTATATTGTTAAATTGGTGCGTTTGAAATGTTCATTGATCTATAAAAGTCCATAACCTGCATACGTGCGTAAAAACACTGCAAAAACTATTGACTCTTATCTTAACTTAGGTAATCAGAATACTGAACTGCTATAAGTTAAGTAGATTTCTCCTGTAACATATTGGTTCAAGGACTGTCAACAAATGTAAAATTATACTGCACAAGCTATCTCTAAGTACATGTAATACAAAGTTTAACGATAACATACATGCAATACCTTGTAAAGAATCAATTATTTTAATTCCTCATGGATAAACAATACAAATTAGAATAATACGATGCAAAATGATAACGATGAATTTGAAAAAACTCATACACGATATGAATATTGTATTATATTCATAAAAGAGTAGGGAAAGATACCAAAGGGATATCCAAACTCATTAGTCGAAAACAAACTAACAATGCCATGGCAAAATACGAAAAACGACGAAAAAACAAACAGTACACCAAACAAAACAAAGAAAACTAAAAACTGAGCAAAAGAACCCCACCAAAAACCGGGGGTGATCTCAATATTTACCATAACATTAATTTTTGTACAATGTACTATCAATTGACCTGCGATCACCCCTAGTTTTTGATGAGGTTTGTCTTGCTCAGTCTTCAGTATTCTATTGCATGCACTTGTATAAGTTTTGTGAACATGTATGTTTGAATAGTTTTACACTAGTCATTTTTTGGGCCCTTTATAGCTTGCTGTTCGGCGTGAGCCAAGGCTCCGTGTTGAAGGCCGTACTTTGACCTATAATGGTTTACTTTTACAAATTGTGAGTTGGATGGAGAGTTGTCTTTGGCACTCATACCACATCTTATTATATCTATGTATGTCTTTTTGTAATCTTTCGTTTTTTGTCGTGCTGTTGTCAGTTTCTCTCGATTGATGAGTTTTAAATGTCCCCTTGCTATTGCTTGCCTCTTATTTGTGATGCATAAAGAGTATAAAACTGTCTTTCAATTTTCGTAATTGTAAGTGTTAAATTATAGTTATATGAACATTAGAACAAGCAATATTGTGATGGATTATACCCATTCTTCCACATGTGTTACAATATTTATGAAATACACGTCAGCTCTAACACGTACTTGAATATTCTCGTACTGTTTCTTTGGTTCTTTTTTGCAATTTGAAATAAAATCGCAGATAAATAACATTAACGGTAATGATGGACTTTGCACACAATGTATATAATTATATGAATGTATGTATGTATATAAAACCTTCGGGTTTATATGATCCGTTCATCCTATTTCGACTCTTTAAATTCAAGAGTCTTTCCTAAATTGAGGTAAATTATATGGCCTTCCAAATACCGTTTCGATCCCTAACATCACTGAAGAGACATTAATTGTCGAAATCCGGATATGGTGTACAAATTTTTGCACCTCATGTTTGTGGTATACCATCTTTACCACAAGTTTATTGTTTTCTGTTTGGTATTAAATTAATATTTAGATCCATTTTGTTAGATCTGGTGATCAATTTATTTGGCAATCACCAATGGCAGTCAGCAAGGTTTAAGAACATCAGTTGTTCGACCTGTTAGTCAAATGCGTTTTGTTAAAATAGACTTTTTCACTTTTTTTTGGTCTTTTGGAAATTGTTGTTTGTGCTGTATTTAGACCCCTCTACCACGAAATTTGTTTTACATGCACACGTATAAAAATTGCGGTTTTTATCCAACGCAATCATAGGTTTTGACGTTGTTTTCAATTTAGACTTTTATATTTTTTTTCGTTTGGGCTTGTATTATATTTTCCTTCGGGTTTATATGATCCGTTCATCCTATTTCGACTCTTTAAATTCAAGAGTCTTTCCTAAATTGAGGTAAATTATATGGCTTTCCATATACCGTTTCGATCCCTAACATCACTGAAGAGACATTAATTGTCGAAATCCGGATATTGTGTACAAATTTTTGCACCTCATGTTTGTGGTATACCATCTTTACCACAAGTTTATTGTTTTCTGTTTGGTATTAAATTAATATTTAGATCCATTTTGTTAGATCTGGTGATCAATTTATTTGGCAATCGCCAATGGCAGTCAGCAGGGTTTAAGAACATCAGTTGTTCGACCTGTTAGTCAAATGCGTTTTGTTAAAATAGATTTTTTCACTTTTTTTTGGTCTTTTGGAAATTGTTGTTTGTGTTGTATTTAGACCCCTCTACCACGAAATTTGTTTTACATGCACACGTATAAAAATTGCGTTTTTATCCAACGCAATCATAGGTTTGGACGTTGTTTTCAATTTAGACTTTTATATATTTTTTCGTTTGGGCTTGTATTATATTTTCCTTCGGGTTTATATGATCCGTTCATCCTATTTCGACTCTTTAAATTCAAGAGTCTTTCCTAAATTGAGGTAAATTATATGGCCTTCCAAATACCGTTTCGATCCCTAACATCACTGAAGAGACATTAATTGTTGAAATCCGGATATGGTGTACAAATTTTTGCACCTCATGTTTGTGGTATACCATCTTTACCACAATTTTATTGTTTTCTGTTTGGTATTAAATTAATATTTAGATACATTTTGTTAGATCTGGTGATCAATTAATTTGGCAATCGCCAATGGCAGTCAGCAGGGTTTAAGAACATCAGTTGTTCGACCTGTTAGTCAAATGCGTTTTGTTAAAATAGACTTTTTCACTTTTTTTTGGTATTTTGGAAATTGTTGTTTGTGCTGTATTTAGACCCCTCTACCACGAAATTTGTTTTACATGCACACGTATAAAAATTGCGGTTTTTATCCAACGCAATCATAGGTTTGGACGTTGTTTTCAATTTAGACTTTTATATATTTTTTCGTTTGGGCTTGTATTATATTTTCCTTCGGGTTTATATGATCCGTTCATCCTATTTCGACTCTATAAATTCAAGAGTCTTTCCTAAATTGAGGTAAATTATATGGCCTTCCAAATACCGTTTCGATCCCTAACATTACTGAAGAGACATTAATTGTCGAAATCCGGATATGGTGTACAAATTTTTGCACCTCATGTTTGTGGTATACCATCTTTACCACAAGTTTATTGTTTTCTGTTTGGTATTAAATTAATATTTAGATCCATTTTGTTAGATCTGGTGATCAATTTATTTGGCAATCGCCAATGGCAGTCAGCAGGGTTTAAGAACATCAGTTGTTCGACCTGTTAGTCAAATGCGTTTTGTTAAAATAGACTTTTTCACTTTTTTTTGGTCTTTTGGAAATTGTTGTTTGTGCTGTATTTAGACCCCTCTACCACGAAATTTGTTTTACATGCACACGTATAAAAATTGCGGTTTTTATCCAACGCAATCATAGGTTTGGACGTTGTTTTCAATTTAGACTTTTATATATTTTTTCGTTTGGGCTTGTATTATATTTTCCTTCGGGTTTATATGATCCGTTCATCCTATTTCGACTCTTTAAATTCAAGAGTCTTTCCTAAATTGGGGTAAATTATATGGCCTTCCAAATACCGTTTCGATCCCTAACATCACTGAAGAGACATTA